TACAACACATAAGTAGATACACACATACAACACATAAATAAAACCACACATACAACACGTAACTAAATACACACATACAACACATAAGTAAATACACACATACAACACATAAGTAAATACACACATACAACACATAAGTTAATACACACATTCAACATTTACACACGCAAAAGATTTTACACTCAAACAAAAAAGAAAACGTAAAAATGAATGATTTGCTACAAAGTGAAGTGATATTTGCTGACGTCTACATTTCCAGCTAACCTTGGAATAACAAGCAAATTACACGGAACGCATGTGCGCTGACGAGTTTGAGGCGTGGCCTATTATTCTCGTATATATAAATATCATATCCTCGGATGTGTTTGTTAGAAACTAACTCTGCTGGCACTGACATGCACTAATATCGAAAATAATATTTCCTATGACATGCTCCATGACGCAACAAAGCACTAGACAAGTCATTACCTATACACGACGTAATATCAGTTACAATAGACTTGTCTTTAATTGTTTCCAGAAAGTAAACGAAGGTATAGACTGAAAGTCGACAGTCCCAGATAGTAGAAATGAGAGCTGAAGACGATGTGATATGTGGAGGTACTACACGAGATGAACGACTATCTGCCAAAACATCTTAGGTACTTTGTAATGACTTGGCAACAACACAAGATAACTCGGATAATTTCCGAACTGTCATGCCTGTTTTGCCAGTCCAATCAGCGTCTTAACTGTGAGCCTGACTGAGTACTGTTCTATCTCCCCTGACGAAACTTACTGTATTGGAATGCTCACACCAACTCGTGTCATTATCCGCTTACATCACCTTACCAGCCATACTACCGTTGATAATGACATAGAACTTCTATTTGTTGGCGGATTTGGTCGGGTTGATAATGCTCCGGCCTTCAATGCAGAGTGCCGTGGTACCTTGTAGATTAGAATTTCAGCGAATATGTTTTTCCTGTGCCCACATAACTCCTATAACCGTGATGTTGTCTGAGGTCGGTGCTGCAGTGTTTTCGCTGTAATATTCCAGTGTGGTGAAACAGTGGAATAAAAAGATGATGTTCCTAGCACGGTCCTATCATAAACAGAGCAACAATACTCCTCAAACACACACGTAGACATGTGGAGGTTCCAGTCATGTGGCTTAGGACTGATAGTTAGCGTATGATAAGGAAGCCCTTGCGAAACCCTCATATTGTATTGAATGTTTTAGTTGATTGTTTGTGTATTACATCATAATTGCTTATTCTAGTCAAGTGGACAGCTTATTAATCAATAAATGAAAATATAAAACAGTAATGACCTATCTCACTTTATCAACTGAAATGTCTACAAAGGAACCATCAAATTATCATAGACCATAGTGAAAACTGATCGAACGTGACGCCGTTACCGTATAAATGAAACTACATAACTTATAATAAATCCTCACAGTTGTATGTATAAGACAGTATACAAGTGTCTGACGGAGATACAGATATAGGAAAACAAAAATAAACATGTACACGTGCGCTTATACTCCTCGACAATATACAGACAGGACAGGGAATGTCTCTGCGTACGCTAATATGTAAGCTATGTCCATTTAACCCACGTGCCACCCATTAAATAAGTACATGTCAAGCGTTTTTCATCAATGACTGTCAAACAATCACATGACTAAGATTGTTTGACCTATTAATCACCACGATTGGGCGTGCGCAGCAGATACTTATCAAACACACACCGTTTTTGGTGTTTTTATAGATATATTTACTTCAATATTGTCAAGTGATTAGTATCTAAATGTATGTGTTACAATACCTGGTCGTCGTATGTAAATAAACTTTATGTTTTGTTTTGTTATTGTATTTTTATTTATTGAAATATCTAACGTTGAGTGATTTTTTGAAGATTGTGACCTTGACACTATGTTCCATCTCAGTTTTTTCTTTAAGCAGATGCTGTTAGCAATCTATCACGTTACTCTGTAACACCAACTTTAAACCTGTACCCCCGTGAAGTTTTACCTTCAGAACCGTCTGACCTAACATATGTTACAGCCTGAGTTTGTTAAAACCAGATCAAACAGTGAAGATATTAGACGATGTGCACGTGTTAACATATCATACACGTGGTAATATTTACTTCAATAGAGATTGTTCTTTAATGCGAACCATTTACATAATCCTGTAGCCTCGTTATGAATATGGACACGTGCGTATTCTGATCTTTCTGGGTAACTTAATGTGTGTATTTGTTGTCGACAGGTGAATTTGTTTATTATCCCGTGAATGTTTATTTCCATATCAAAATACTACGATGATAAAACTTTTTTTTTCTGTTTACTAACAAATTTTTAAATGTACTTGTATACTTAAAAGATTAATAAAACGGACAAGATAGAAATAAAAAACACTGACATTTATCTTCATAAAAGGGAGATAACAAGCGATACAAACAGATTAATTATTATAAATATCTATCATATAATATACTATGTTATCCAATGAATATACCCATGTCACATTTTTTTTGTAATATAACCTATCAGCCCTGTGTTTGGTTGTAAGAATTGTGACGTCACGCCTAGGACAAGTACTTACGCACTGGAGTCAAAATGGCGGCTTTTTACATTTCAAGGTTGCATAAAAATTGTCGTTTAACACGAATAAATGCCACACATATTGATTATGTGATAAAAAGGATATTACATTCGTTTTCATTTCAGATGAAATTTATGAAACTCGCAGCAAATGTTTCATTTTAGCTCCCCAGATGCTCGCTAAATTAAAAAAAATCTTAGACTCGTTTCATATCTCTCATATAAAATTGATGCTCATGTAAGATCCTATATATATACATCGGTATATGTTGAGAACGATGTAATATGGGATGTTTGCCTCTATAGTTATACGACCTATCCCAGCCTATACACACAGGATACACCTCGCTAATAGTACCAACCTAACATATGCACAGGTTACATGTCTCGGTAAACAAAGGCTGTGACTCATCTGTCAATGTGTATATAAGAATGTAGCCTGGTATTTATTGCGTTTTAAATGCTTTTCTGACGTATGTAATCCAGAAGACAAACAGCCAATCAGCTCCCAAATAATGATTTTGGAATCCGATTTTTTCATGTAAATTCAATTGTTACTGAATGTTTAGAAAATAACTAGAATCTCTCCATAATAAACAACAAGAGAATATTCCATTGACTACATAACCATAGTTCGAACTCAATATGATAAAACTAGGGCGAAATATGAACAAAAGGACGATTGATACGGTGACACTTGAAAAAGTACAAAATGAAAAGGATCAGACGTTCCGGAAATGTAAGCGTCATTTGCTTAATCTAGGTCAAATCCAAGTAGTGTCACATCCTTATACCACGAACTGGGTAAGTGACAACAAAAACACAAGGTACATAAATTAACATTATTTAAACGAAGTTTGGAGCAAGCTATTGAATAACAATCCACTGCGATACATGTAAACCGTTTGGAAAGTAGGAATGTTAAGATCAAGAAAGGGACAGTTTACGATCGAAAAGTTGAAATCGTCCGTTTTATTACACAGCTGAGAAGTAAGTAAGCCATCCCCGTTGGTCACGCCTGAAGTTGAAGCTGTAAATGCTCAGGAAGGAATGGTATATACAGTCATCGTTGTCAATACATTTCTTGCTATGTAAAGACAGCACATCGTGGGTACATCTTAAAGTGAGGAAGCCAGATCGGCTAGGTTTTGTTACCAGGCTTGATTAGCTCACTAATTAAGTCAGCCTCACAGGACAACAAAAAACGATTCACCCAGAAGAGAGGCAGAGTTTGTTCCTGAAGGACTACCAGCTGACTGCTGGAAAGTCTTCTCACCGAACTTAACAAAGATATTGTCCACAAGGAGCTCACTCATTTTTACAATTGCATCCTCAATCAGAAGTAACAAGTGAGAAAACAAGAGAGTAAAGTAAAACGTGGAAGAGTTCCACCTAACTGCGACATGATGTGTATGTAGGGTGTAAATAACTCGTATAGTTGATGTTAGGCAAGGTGTCAACAAATTTACCTGATAAAGTACAGTTCCAGCCTGGTGGACAGGAGAATTTAATTACAATTGTTGTTTGCAGCTTTACATACCAAGAAAATATATTTTTATATCTTCATATTTTTTTAATATCTGTTCGCTCTTTGTCTTATCCGAAGGTCAAATATGTAGCGCGTAATATTGTATGAAATGATAGTTTTTGCAGAAATGTCTAACACAATAATGTGCATTAACGGTTGATTACTAAAACTAACCATTCTTTGGGCAGCTGAACCATCACGCTACAACCAATTATGTGTACCAGAGGTGTCAGGTCTGGTCTCTCCGTATCATTGACAGATATGTGAAACAAATGAGCAAGCTTTTTCAGAAAAGAAATCCTGTTGGTGAACCACATGTTAAGAGAACGAGAAAAAATACGGAAGATTAAAAACATACCAGATGCTCAGATATACGCAATCATGATGATGAACATGTGCGTCTTGTTCTAAAAATAGGCAAGTGCATGATGTATATAGCCCGTCCAAAATAGTGACACCTATTTTTGTTTGTTCGTTCAAAAATCGCTTTTTTATAGAAATTGTTTTCTTTTACCAGAGAAAGCACAAAATAGTGATGGAAAGAGAAATTTATATGCAAATTTAAACGTAGGCGGCTAAGATTTCATACCCGAAGTTTTCGAAGCATGGACATTTTGGCAGCGAACACTAAAACGCCTCTGACACAAAACGTGGGTAAACGCTAGGTGACAAATCATATAACTATTAATTGCCGTTCGATAAGGCATATACTCAAATATATTGACTATTGTCGAAGTTTATTTGTTTTATTGTTTCTTCGTCACCTTCTTTTGTCTTTCATGTGGGTTGTGAGTTTTTATTTTGTTGTGTTGTGTTGTGTATTTTTTCTCTCTTTTTATTCGATGGTGATAATATCTTTATATCCGTTTTTTCTAGTACTTAAGTAATTGAACCATGCATGTCATCCCTTTGACCAGTAGGTTGGTGTTGCTGTTGGTTGACCATGTCCTTCCTTTGACCAGTAGGTTGGTGTTGCTGTTGGTTGACCGTGTTCTTCCTTTGACCAGTAGGTTGGTGTTGCTCATGGTTGACCATGTCCTTCCTTTGACCAGTAGGTTCGTGTTGCTGTTGGTTGACCGAGTTCTTCCTTTGACCGGTAGGTTGGTGTTGCTGTTGGTTGACCATGTCCTTCCTTTGACCAGTAGGTTGGTGTTGCTCATGGTTGACCATGTCCTTCTTTTGACCAGTAGGTTGGTGTTGCTGTTGGTTGACCATGTCCTTCCATTGACCAGTAGGTTGGTGTTGCTGTTGGTTGACCATGTCCTTCCTTTGACCAGTAGGTTCGTGTTGCTGTTGGTTGACCGTGTTCTTCCTTTGACCGATAGGTTGGTGTTGCTGTTGGTTGACCATGTCCTTCCTTTGACCAGTAGGTTGGTGTTGCTGTTGGTTGACCGTGTCCTTCCTTTGACCAGTAGGTTGGTGTTGCTCATGGTTGACCATGTTCTTCCTTTGATCAGTAGGTTGGTGTTGCTGTTGGTTGACCATGTCATCCCTTTGACCAGTAGGGTGGTGTTGCTGTTTGTTGACCATGTCCTTCCTTTGACCCGTAGGTTGGTGTTGCTGTTGGTTGACCATGCCCTTCCTCTGACCAGTAGTTTGGTGTTGCTCATGGTTGACCATGTCCTTCTTTTGACCAGTAGGTTGGTGTTGCTGTTGGTTGACCATGCCCTTCCTTTGACCAGTAGTTTGGTGTTGCTGTTGGTTGACCATGTCCTTCCTTTGACCAGTAGGTTGGTGTTGCTGTTGGTTGACCATGCCCTCCCTTTGACCAGTAGGTTGGTGTTGCTGTTTGTTGACCATGTCCTTCCTTTGACCAGTAGGTTGGTGTTGCTGTTGGTTGACCATGTCCTTCCTTTGACCAGTAGGTTGATGTTGCTGTTGGTTGACCATGTCATTACTTTGACCAGTAGGTTGGTGTTACTGTTGGTTGACCATGTCATCCCTTTGATCAGTAGGTTGATGTTGCTGTTGGTTGACCATGCCCTTCCTTTGACCAGTAGGTTGGTGTTGCTGTTGGTTGGCCATGTCATTCCTTTGACCAGTAGGTTGGTGTTGCTGTTGGTTGGCCATGTCATTCCTTTGACCAGTAGGTTGGTGTTGCTGTTGGTTGACCATGTCCTTCCATTGACCAGTAGGTTGGTGTTGCTGTTGGTTGACCATGCCCTCCTTTTGACCAGTAGTTGGTGTTGCTAATGGTTGACCATGTCATCCCTTTGACCAGTAGGGTGGTGTTGCTGTTGGTTGACCATGCCCTCCCTTGGACCAGTAGTTGGTGTTGCTAATGGTTGACCATGTCCTCCCTTTGACCAGTAGGTTGGTGTTGCTGTTGGTTGACCATGCCCTCCCTTTGACCAGTAGTTGGTGTTGCTAATGGTTGACCATGTCATCCCTTTGACAGTAGGTTGGTGTTGCTGTTGGTTGGCCATGTCCTCCCTTTGACCAGTAGGTTGGTGTTGCTGTTAGTTTACCATGTCCTTCCATTGACCAGTAGGTTGGTGTTGCTGTTGGTTGACCATGTCCTTCCATTGACCAGTAGGTGTGTGTTGCTGTTGGTTGACCATGTCCTTCCTTTGACCAGTAGGTTGGTGTTCCTGTTGGTTGACCACGTCATCCCTTTGACCAGTAGGTTGGGGGTGCTGTTGGTTGACCATGTCCTACCATTGACCAGTAGGTGTGTGTTGCTATTGGTTGACCATGTCCTTCCTTTGACCAGTAGGTTGGTGTTGCTGTTGGTTGACCATGTCCCTCCTTTGACCATAAGGTTGGTGTTGCTGTTGGTTGACCGTGTCCTTCCTTTGACCAGTAGGTTGGTGTTGCTGTTGGTTGACCATGTCATTCCATTGACCAGTAGGTTGGTGTTGCTGTTGGTTGACAATGTCATCCCTTTGACCAGTAGGTTGGTGTTGCTGTTGGTTGACAATGTCATCCCTTTGACCAGTAGGTTGGTGTTGCTGTTGGTTAACCATGTCCTTCCTTTGACCAGTAGGTTGGTGTTGCAGTTGGTTGACCATGTCCTTCCTTTGACCATAAGGTTGGTGTTGCTATTGGTTGACCATGTCATCCCTTTGACAGTAGGTTGGTGTTGCTGTTGGTTGACCCCAGTAGGTTGGTGTTGCTGTTGGTTGACCATGTCCTTCCATTGACCAGTAGGTTGGCGTTGCTGTTGGTTGACCATGTCCTTCCATTGACCAGAAGGTTGGTGTTGCTGTTGGTTGACCATGTCCTTCCATTGACCAGAAGGTTGGTGTTGCTGTTGGTTGACCATGTCCTTCCATTGACCAGTAGGTGTGTGTTGCTGTTGGTTGACCATGTCCTTCCTTTGACCAGTAGGTTGGTGTTGCTGTTGGTTGACCATGTCCCTCCTTTGACCAGTAGGTTGTATTGCTGTTGGTTGACCATGTCCTTCCTTTGACCAGTAGGTTGGTGTTGCTGTTGGTTGACCATGTCCTTCCTTTGACCAGTAGGTTGTATTGCTGTTGGTTGACCACGAGTCATTATTTATAGAGACTCTTTATTGCTTATAAATTATAATAAGACCTTTCCTAAATCAAAGACCTTAGTGAACTAAAGTTTAATATTCTTCTTTACCGTAAATATATGTTTTAGTTCTAACTTTCCGGAGATTTCGTCTAGAATACACTACTTTATATGTTATTTTTAAATGAGCTACAATAAAGAAATGGTAGTATGTGTCAGGTTGATAGCGATAAATTGACTAATCAGAATATATCATTATGTTTGAAGTGTCACCCTTAGCAATATACACTCCTAACTAATAACGCACCATTGTATATACACAACTATGGTGTGCAGTGTTTACCATGTAAGGATAAATACATCTGATCAGGTCTATAAACACACATATATACACTAGTAAGAGGGAGTGGTTATCGGAACAGTAACCTCCCCTTAATTTCGTTCAGAATCTTACTATTAATGGACTATAGACCAAGAAACAGTGTCACTGATCAGGTGAATCAATTAGTTAGAGCCACAGTATCATAATCGGTGGTCCAGGGTTCGAATCCCGGTCTGACTGTAGCATCCCTAACTCTCATTACCTTTCCAAAATATCTTACTCCGTTCCGGGGTTTGATGATGTCTTTCCTTTAGATTTTGTGTATCTATTTATACCTTGTGTGTTCTCACCGGTATTTATTGTTTTTATTCTCAGCCAAAAGCTGGGTTTTTTACAGAAAATCTACTGAAAAAATATTATCTCACAAAAATACAATTCCACCAAGCTAAGATGTTGATATTATTCAGATATTTCCAATCTTATAAAACAGTCTTCAATTGAATTCAGGATAGAAAAACAATAAAGAGTGGGAGACCTCACACTTCCGGAGTGAATAGTCTTAACTTCCGGTTTGGCGTGATTTCCGTACCTGTAGTCGTCGTTCAGTATCGATTCTGTTTTGTGTGGTGAAGCTATGGCTTATCAGTGTTCTTACACATGTTCCTGATCATACATTCTACCCTTTCAATGATTTATGTCTTCTTGACGAGGGTTAATGAATTGCTCTTTAAGTCAAGAGGGTGATAAGTTCAAATGTTTACGTCCATCTGCACGTGAAGTACCCAATAGCAATATCAAACGTTTAACGACTGCCCCGACAGGAAAGTCGAGGTCAGACTGATCCCATTATACAAATCGCATAAACTCATCTTTTCGTTCTCAATTTTGATTGTGTAAATATCATTTATATCTTTATTAAAAAAACAACGAGGTAGATTGTTGAAGTGTATTCAATAATGAAGTAATTTAATAAATCTTTCAACTTAATAACGATTAAATACAACAAATATGTGTTTGTTTGACGTCTTGGATATTGGAAGCTTTTTAGAGGACGAGCCACGAGTGTACACCCGAACAGCTATCGAGCGTTATTGAGAACGTCAGACATACAGACATTTTCTGTATAGGTGTGATCTATTTTCTGTAAATCATTACCTATGGTTACCCTGTACTGTTGTCCACTTGTCTTGGAAACTAGAACCGAACAACAATGGTGGACAACGCAAGGTAAGATTAATGACATGACGTTAAAACAGACTAAAATGACGCTAAATTGTCGGAAATATAACATTTTTCAATCCATCGAATAAATAAAATATGTATTTAAAATACATATAAAAAACTAAAGTAATGTAATGTCATTCAATTGATATTTTGATCAACTAAAGAAATATCTAACCCAAAAAACACATTCAACGGTATCGCTCTTGGAAATATTTTTATTACAGAAAGATTGCATTTAGAAGATACCATTATTTTTCTTCTGTTTCCGTATGTATCCTTGGTTAATTTGCATCGAGAAAGGTAAGTCATTATTGTCGCAACAGCAAAGTCTGAATTTCCCAGACCACTGGTAAGTGATGAAAAAAACAGTCAATCACAATGTAGCATAGACGAGAACAGGAAAATTCTTTCTAACTTAAGGGTGTAAATTACAGAACCTTCTATAACAAATATTCATTACATTCTAAACAATGATTCTCTTAGTCCTTAAAATGTTAACAAAATATTACTACAGGACTTAATTGAAAAAAGTGTCAACAGGAGACAAGATCAGTGGGTATTATAGATGTTATGGTGTAAATAAAGTCTATGATTCTCTAGTGTGAAAGTACTTTCCGAATTGAGCAATATGATAGACGCATTAATTGTGACAATAATAATATCGATTTAATTATCGAATGTCCCAGAGCAAAATTGTTAGACATATCTCATTTATCTTTTAGATTGTCCTCTGCATATGCTGCTCCATTGCAACAGATAGGAACTCTATATCCTCTCCCCACCCTACTGTTCTATTGGCGGTGTCACTCTAGGCACGTCTGGGTAAGATGTTGTCAGTATTATGTAGCAGGGTGGAGTATTATGCTAACATGTCCGGATTATGACATATCAGTAACGTGGCACGTTGAATTGGCCCTTTCCTCTTCATATGACCTTAGCTGTTGAGAGCAACCAACTACAGAAGAATACAAAATGGCGCCCAATTAGCGCTATTTTCTGCAAATTAATCAGCACGTCTACCTATCATAAATATTATAATCAAATATTTAATGAATTCTAGTTATAATACAACTCATGGAATGATTGGTTTATTCTCTCACGTGTTTCGCAGGCATTCAAAATACCGAATGATTCACTCCACGCAATTAGATAATGATATGCACCAAAGGACTATTCAAGTAGTTAAATGTGAACGAAATAATGTGTTATACAAGTTATAGTTATAAATACTGCTTATTGCACAACACCAAAAGCAATGAAAGACGCCGAGGAACCAAACACAGGGCCAGGACAACGCTGACAATAGAGATGGTGTGTAACCGCCACAGTCCTGCCATCATATTAGCTGAGCAGTGTAGTCTACTTGGCAACTGTTACGCTACATGGTAGAAATTATTTAAGGTTTGTGTTGTTACTTACCTCAAGGCCTGAATCATACAGACAACAATGTGTGTACGGAACACAGCCAGTACCACAAAGTCTAACAGGTAAATAACTAGTACGGCACACAGCCAGTACCACAAAGTCTAACAGGTAAATAACTAGTACGGAACACAGCCAGAGTACCATAAAGTCTAACAGGTTAATAACTATATAGTGTACAGACTATCGAATTTGTATCAATGTTGAAAGCGAATGTAATAAAACGTAAAAATCTGCCGTCATCATTTCCAAATGCAATAACAATTCACTGTCCATGTCCTCTGTATTCTTAGAGGGGCTGCTTTAGAGGAGCGTGGGACGGACGTTATACTGCTCCTGTTAGCTTTAATAACACATACAGTAAAATACAACAATGAGGTACACTGCATCCTACAGCTAGTTCGTCCTTCTAGGGCTACTCGTCTCTGTTAAGGGCCTAAAAGGT